ATATATAATTATAAATTATAATTATAAATGTATATAAAGTATTAAATATATATAATATATAAATACATATATACACATATATAAATACATATATATACATATATATAAATACATATATATACATATCCGATAAATGATTCATATCCCAAATAGATAAAGAACTCCTATAACTCAACAACCAAAAGAAAAACCAATACTATTCAAAAGGGGACAAAGCACTTGAATAAGACATTTCTCCAAAGAAGATATATAAATGGTCAACAAGCATATGATTGTATGATAACATCATAACATCAATAGTCATTAGGGAAATGCAAATCAAAACCACAATGAGATACCACTTCACCCTCATTAGGATAGCTATTACAAGTGTTGGCAAGGGTGTGGAAAAAGGAGAATCTTTGTGCATTGTTGGTGAGACTATAAAGTGGTTCAGCCACTGTGGCAAACAGCTTGGAAGCTCTTCAAAAATTAAATGCAGAATTACTAAATGACCCAGTAATTGCATCCCTAGATGTACACACAAAAGAACTGAAAACAGGTACTCAGGTACTTGTACACCAATATTCACAGAAGTATTATTCACACCAGCCAAAAGGAGAAAAACAACCTAAGTGTCCATCAACAGATGACTGGGTAAACAAAATGTGGTAGATATGCACAATGGAATATTAGTCAGCCTTAAAAAGGAAAGAAATTCTCATACATGCTACAACATGGATAAAACTTGAAGATGTTACACTAATGAAATGAGCTAGACACAAAAAAGCAAATTTTGGGGCGCCTGGGTGGCTCAGTTGGTTAAGCGTCTGACTCCTGAATTTGGCTTGGGTCATGATCTCGAGGTTCATGGGTTCCAGCCCCGAGTCAGGCTCTGTGCTGGCAGGACAGAGCCTGCTAGAGGTTCCCCATCTCCCTCTCTCTCTGCTCCTCCCCCACTTGTGTGCACAAGTGTGCTCTTTCTCTCTCAAAACAAATTTATTTAAACTTAAAAAATAAAAGCAAATTTTGATTCCACTTATATGAGGTAACTAGCATAGGCAAATTCATAAAGACAGGAAATAGAACAGGTACTAGAAGAAAGGGGCATGGGAAGTTCTGTTGAATGGGGACACAGTCACAATTGGGGAGGGTGAAAAAGTTCTGGAGAAGGGTGGTAGTGATAGTTGCACAACAATGTAATGAATTTAATACAACTGAACTGTACACTTAAAAATGGCTACAGTGGTAAATTTTGTGTGTTTTATCACAATAAAATACAGTGGAAAAAGTCTCACTCCAAATGTTATAATAATTTGCTTCATCACTGTCGTCAAGGGATTTTACAAATAATGTCTCCCACTAACAGAATTTTAGGTTTTTATCTAAATTTGAGATGGAAAATAATGTGCCATTGGTACATGCATGTCTTGAAAGAAATTAGAATACCTGATAATATAAAATGCCAGGACATCACACACAAACCCCAGGCCCAATTATAGGATAATCTCCTTTCAAAAGCCCATACTCAGTGAAGGACAGGCATAGTTTTGTGCCATCCCGGCATTTTGCCTGCCTTTCAGATCCTTTCTTCCACTTAATGCTGATTCATGTAAACATATCAATTTTCTCTGATGGTTGTAGCATAGGGGAGAAAGAAAGTACTGTTTTAAAAATATCATTTGTTTCTACGCTAAGAAAAAAGTGAAAATACAGAACAATGTCCAGAAAGATTATTTCTTTTAATGAGATCTATTTTCTATTCCAGAACCAACCAATGGCAATTTTACATATTATCGATCAATATTTTTGAGCTTTATTTTCTTGGAATCAGCTATTTTTACAATACAAACTATAAAATTCCTTTAGTCAAAGCAAATAATTACATTCAAAAAACATCCATAGATTCAACAACTGTGAGCATTCTGAAAGAAAGCAGAAATAAAAGTCTTTTCATGCACGAACACATCTGGTATTTATTCTATATGTTTATATATGTTTATTTATTTTTGAGAGAGAGAGGCAGAGAGAGAGAATCCCAAGCAGGTTTCACGCCGTCAGCACAAGCCCAACACGAGCCATGAGATCATGACCTGAGCCAAGATCAAGAGTTAGACACTCGAGTGAGCCACTTAGGCACCCCCACATCTGATATTTGAAGTTGTATTAAAATCTACTAATACTCCAGAATCTCTGTGTGCTCAAATCCATTAGAAGGTCCACAGAATTTGAAATTCACTCTTTCCTAAAACTGATTTTATGACCCCTCCTTAATAGGAATGTAATAGAACCTACTACCTGAAAATGTTACTGGATTAATAAATTTACCCTATAATACACAACTAAGTACCAGAATATTTGAAGTTAATCTTTGTCAACAGTTGTGGATTTGGGTAAACTGTGGCCCAAACAACATAATGACTGCCTGAGTCTCATCCAATAAAATCCCACAAATATATCAAAACCCCCACGTGCATAAAGTATACACACAATCTCATTTTAACGTTTATTCATTTTTGGGACAGAGAGAGACAGAGCATGAACGGGGGAGGGGCAGAGAGAGAGGGAGACACAGAATCGGAAACAGGCTCCAGGCTCCGAGCCATCAGCCCAGAGCCCGACGCGGGGCTCGAACTCACGGACCGCGAGATCGTGACCTGGCTGAAGTCGGACGCTTAACCAACTGCACCACCCAGGCGCCCCCACACAATCTCATTTTAAAACAGAACTCCAAAACCAGCTTCATTACTTTTTACATTAGTACTGAATTTCACAAAAGGTCCTGATTAAAAGTGATATGTTTTGCCTACACCAAGACAGGGCTATAATTGGCAGCCCTGTGCTCATGACAGGAGGTGCTGAAGTAAACTGGTGTCATTGGGATTTATACTTAATAGGTCACTGGGATAGGCTTGATTTATGTTCACTTAAATCCCTGGGATATGGTCCTCTTGAACACTCATCTAGTTTGATTTTTCAGCTAGAATGTCAATGTTGATTGGCTATCATTTCTTAAGTTTCAGTGGAGATTTAGAATTATTTTTTATTTTTTTCTTTCTCTTAAGTTTATTTATTTTGAGAGGGAAAGAGAGAGAGAGAGAGCAGGGGAAGGGCAGAGAGAGAAGGAGGAAAAGAGAATCCCAAGCAGGCTCTGCACCATCTGCACAGAGTCCAACATGGGGCTGGAACTCATGAACCGTGAGATCATGACCTGAGCCAAAATCAGAAGCCCGACTGACTGAGCTACCCAGACGCCCATGGAATTGTTTTTTGTTTGTTTGTTTTTTTAATAAAAAGACAGGATACATTTTTTACTGTTTCTCCCTACCACCTTTAGAGACAGAATTATTATTCTATTGCCTATTTGATATTTTATAGTGAAAGGGAAGAAGAACAGGCAATAAATCAGCAAAGAGAGGATCTAACAAATACACCTAAGCGTTGGGCCACTTTTAAGGTAGACTTAAAATGTTACACATTTTTTTTCCACGTGCTATTCTGAATAGTAAGAGCATGATTGAACATTTTAACGGTAAGCAACTCATAAGACTGTCGTCAGAGAATGTCAAAACAATCTTGGGAAGATTACAGCGTAAGTTTCTAGCACTCCACACTCTATTCTTTTTTTTTTTTTAATTTTTTTTGAATGTTTATTTATTTTTGAAGGAGAGAGAGAGAGACAGAGCATGATCAGGGGAGGGACAGAGAGAGAGGGAGACACAGAATCCAAAGCGGGTTCCAGACTCCGAGCTGTCAGCACAGAGCCCGACGTGGCGCTCAAACTCCCAAACCGTGAGAGATCATGACCTAAGCCAAAGTCAGACGCTTAACCGACTGAGCCACCCAGGCACCCCACCACATTCTCTTCTGTACATCGTCAGCATTTTCTTGGAGAGAGCCTATAGACCACCCCACAAGTGTGGTATTTTATTATTTAAGTTTGGAAGGGCCCACAACGTAACTAGTGCCTCCAGGAAAAGATGCAACACGATATAATGAATATTTGGAGGAAGGACGTGGAGGAAGAAGACTTGAAACTGAATGCTAGCTTCCTCACTAATGTGACCTTTAAGTAATCAACCACTTTGATCCTATTTCCTCCTCTGCAAAACTGAGAGAAAAATCACTGCTTTTCATACTGAGAGGATGTGTGCAAAAGCAGTTTGAACACTGTAAACTTAATGCAAAGATACTATTTTTTATTACTAACAAGTGGTTATACTTCTACTTATTCCTCCTACATGCCTCACTGTAGAAGTAAAAGGTGCCAAAAAAAGAAGAAAAGAAAAGAAAAAAAAAAGGAAAACAACATCAGAAAATCATCAGAGACAAAGAAGGAAAAAAGAGGACAAATGTTCACATAAAAAGAAAAAAAAACAGTATCTCAACCATCTCAACATAGTAGCGTCTCATTAGGAATCAAATTATGACATCATTTTCTTCCCAATCAGCATGAAATGCTACAATTCACCCAACAGAGCCGATGGACAGATATTCCTGAGGCCGCAATACATACTTCCTACATAACTCCAGGACCAGTCAGAAAGAGGGAAAAGGCAAGAAGATAAATGGACCCCAAGAGAAATGAGATGATCACTGTATAAAGTTTGACTATCCAGCAGTTCCAACTGTACAAAACCTGAGAACTACCAACAAGCAAAAAAGAGCTGTACCTGCCAAAATGGATGTTATCAAGTCTGTACAGAAAAGATCACATAGGACCTATTTGCGACTATTTGCGACTTAGGTTAAACAAGCGGGTTTACAGGATTTCGAAGTTTACAGCAAATCAGAACAGCAAACGGGGAGACAGATGAGGAATGCCACCAGCAGGTGCGTGACAGCAAAGTGAAATCAAAGCTGGTGGACTGGCCCCAAGGAAAGGGACCAAAACCAGCCAAACAAAACAAAACAACGAAAAAGCTCCTGAAAAGCAGACACCAGTTCTGAAAAGCACAAGAGTTTGAGGTCGCTGCATCTGGGAACTACCGGCCCTTCTTTCCAGCTCCAGAATTGCTTACCATGCAGTTCTTCAAAATTCTGGAGACCACAGAGAGTCTCAAACACAGCAGCAAGAGAGTGGCAGGACGGACTTGGACACCAGGAGAATGGCAAAGCACTAGGCTTCGTCCCTCTGCAGATTGCCACCTTCCACCAAAGCAGCCCGTTTTCATTCAGCTTTACTTAATGAGGCTTCTTTGATCTAAGGGCCCTGTTGGTTTAAAAAAAAATTTTTTTTTTCATTAAAATTTGACCACCACTGACTTCCATACTCCAAGATCCTTAAATGCAGTATGTTCCAATGTAGTAATGGAATCTAGGCCCGGAGTTGGGGAGATGGACGGATGAACAGGTGGAGCGGAGATGACTTTTAGGGCAGTAAAACTCTTCTGTATGATATCGCAATGGCTATTTGCACATTATACATTTGCACAAACCCATAGAATGTATAGAATGTACAACACCCCATGGACTTTGGATGATAATGATGTACCAGTGTAGGATCCTCAACTGTAACAAATGCACCACTCTGGTGGAGGACATCCATAGTACGGGAGACTGTGCATGTGGCCGGGGGGGGGGGGGGGGAGGGGGGGCGGTAGGAGGTATATGGGAACTCTCTGTACCTTTCGCTCAATTTTTCCTGTGAACCTAAAACTGCTCAAAAAATGTTTATTATTTTGTTTAAAAGAGAAAGAAATGGAACCTATTAGCTTTCTTAAAACAGTTTTTCCTCCATATTTTCTGGGAGCACCACTCCCCAACCACTTGCTTAAGCTAGAAACAGACTCAGAACAACCCCATGGAAATGTTATTCATCCTCTTCCTCAATCCCACTTTCCCTAGGTCATCAAATCCCATGGATGGATCCTCCACATATTTCTCAGCTATGCCCCATCCCAGATGTCCTCAATGAGTCTACTCTACCCAGGCAGCTGTGTCCTACTGGGCCTCCCCTCATCTGCACACCACCCCTCCCAAGAGCACCCTCCCTGTTGGACCCCTAGCGGCCTGTCCTTCCAAGTCCAGAGCAGATCCCTGCACACTTTTTAGTGACAAATCTTGCACTGAGACTAAAACAGACTAGGACAGTAACTATTTCCAGGGGTTGGAGTTAAAAGTCTTTTATTTCTGCTTTAAACAGTTGGTCTCCAAATTTCTTCCTTTTTAAAAATATTTTATTTTAATGTTTATTTGAGAGAGAGTGCTTGTGCAAACACGCCTGTGCAAGTGGGGAATGGCAGAGAGAGAGGAAGAGAGAATCCCAAGCAGGCTCTGAGTTATCAACACAGAGCCCCACCCAGGGCTCCATCTCACAAACCTTGAGATCATAACCTAAACCAAAATCGAGAGTTGGATGCTTCACTCACTGAGCCATCCTATTTTTCTCAAGTCATCTCTATACCCAACGTTGGAGACTGAACTCACAGTCCCGAGATCAAGAGTCAAATGTGCTACCCACTGAACCAGCCAGGCGTCCCGTCTCCAAATTTCTATTATGAGTGTGTATTTATGTATTTTACACGGGGGAGGGGGGAGGGTGGGAAGCAGTATGGTGGGTAAGATTTGATGATTTGAGCATCACTTTCCAACCAGGCTCTTCACAATCTTTCTCCTCAAATGGCATTCCCAGACTCATCAATCCTCACTCCTTTTGCCCTGCACTGCTTCTCCTCTGCCCTGAGGCCTGTGAGCAGCTACATCCTGGAAACCTCCCCCATGGCCCCAGGCAGCAGCGTTAATGAGCTCTCCACAGCTCTTCTGGGCTTCCACAGCACCTGGCATACACCTTCACAAAAGCACAGAGGACACTTGCTTCCTTACCGTGGTTATTTGTTTTCCCCAGAGAAGCTCAGCTCTTTCTGAAGGCCACAGGCCATGCTACAGAGTGCTCTGAACTGCCTAACACTAGGTCTGGCACACAATAAACGTTGCACGAATGAAGGTAAAATCCAGTCTCATCGATAACATCAACTACTACATTATGAAGCCCTATATAATTAGTCTAACTTCTGATTCTGAGCCATTGCTTTGCTGATGTAATATAACAAATTCCTTTGACAAGCAAAAGCATATATAATGCCTTCCCTCCTTCCTGTGCACTTAATAGTCTTTCTACTTAAAGTGCTGTTATAAGAACACTGACCTGTACGTGAATACCTGCAAAGTGTTAAATGGCTATAAATAATACTTTAAGTGTTTTTTAAAATGGTGTATGGGTAATTTTTAAAGTTTCGTTGATGTGTGTATGTTGTGGGAGGTTGAGTTTCCAGGCCAAGGGCTGCTTGAGCTGTGGAGATTAGAAACTGGTGGAGAAGAATCACTAATAACCGTGTTATACATTGCTGTTTGGAGAAACTCAGATTTTTAATTGCCAATGACATGCATGAAGCAGTGGAGATGGTGTGTCAAATACCATCTCGGCAGCTTTGCTTAGTATGAATGTGGCCACTTAGAAGTACCATATCAATTTGTCTTCAATCTCTTTTCAAACGCTCCTTTGATGATGTGATTCTCCTGCTCAAACCCTTCAGTATTTCTCTTTTGACCACAGGTTAAAATGTAATAGTTTTCTTTTGTCTACAGATTAAAATCCAAATGCCTTATCCTTCCTTCCACCTTATTCTACAAAACACCAACATATCTTAGGGAAGAGAAAGGACTGTGGTTGAAGGAAGAAACTAAATGTATCAAGCATCAAGGATGAGCCAGACACCTATTCTAGGTACTGGTATTTTAAGATAAAACACGGTCTCTTTGCTTTGTGATATTATAGTCTATGGGGGGAGACAGGAATCTAAACACATTATTGCCAGGCAGGCTATAGAAGATTATTATTACTGCTATTAAAAGGGTCATGGGTGGTTTCCTCCTAAGGAAGAAAACCAGAGAAGCAAGGTCTCTTCTCTTGATAGACACAGTAGCACAATTCCAGGCCTAGGGACATCGTCAGCTTCCTTAACTTCTTGCAAGGACTTACAGCAAGAATCTCTATTCCCATTATACTTTGTATTTCACTTTTATTTAGAATCCTAAACTAAATGGGATCATTCTAATTATCCTTCTCAAGGGTGATGCAAAATTCACAAAGTAAAAATGGAATTCTAACCAGGAAAAAATATAGAGAAATCCAAATAGATTACTTCTTTTTTGCATAAAGAAATTTACCAGGGTGCCTGGGTGGCTCAGTCAGTTGAGCCTCCGACTTTGGCTCAGGGCATGATCTCATGGTCTGTGAGTTCGAGCCCTGCGTCGGGCTCTGTGCTGACAGCTCAGAGCCTGGAGCCTGCTTCGGATTCTGTGTCTCCCTCTCTCTCTGACCCTTCCCTGTTCATGCTCTGTCTCTCTCTGTCTCAAAAATAAATAAACATTAAAAAATTAAAAAAAAAAAGAAATTTACCATTTGATAAATATTCTGATATTTGCCTTCCTCACCACTCTCTTTCTAATTAGGCTATGATATCCTGGGAATCAAGATTTTATTTGCTTCTGTTACTTTATTTTGTTATATGGTCCTTAGGGCTTGGGGCCTCACAAGCAGTGTAAGTACAATAGGCACAGAACAAACAACGATTGAATGAATAACCTTTATAAGCCCCCAAATTTATAAGTCCCACTTTCTAGACCAATTAATATATCCACAAAATCATATTTTACTAAAAAAAAATTTTTTTAATGTTTATTCATTTTTGAGAGAGAGGTGTGAGTGGGGGAAGGAGAGACACAGAATCCAAAGCGGGTTCCGAGCTGTCAGCACAGAGCCCAACACGGGGCTCAAACCCACAAACCATGAGATCATGACCCGAGCCGAAGTCAGACGCTTAACCGACTGAGCCACCCAGGAGCCCCACAAAAATCACATTTTAAAACACCAAACATAATCCATACAATTTTTTTTTTACGAAATTAAAATGTGTGTTTGCAATCAATTTAGATGAATGACCACAGAAAGGAAGTGCCACTCCCTTGAAATAATACCTGGGCGCCAACTTGCAATTGTTTGCAAACACAGCCAACACCTAATGACTGTTTTATGTAAACACAATTAACCAATAAGCCCTAAGGGAAGCATGGGGGACACACAGGTTTGTCTTTGACAAACATCTGATCTAACTTTTGCTCCTAAAAGTGAAATTCTACTGCCCTTAGAAAACAGGGAAAGAATGATATAAATGCACCAAGAAGTGAAAGAAAAACACACGAGAACTAAAATCTTTTTAGCTTTAACAAATTTTCTCACCTTCCACATTCACTGGCTTCTGACAGTCACTCACATCATCAATCATAACCATTAATCATAAGCATAACCATAATCACTCATATCATTAATCATAACCGTTAATCACCGGCAGTACCACTTTATGAACAAGTTGTGCCAGTTTGGGGGTAGTCATTTGGAAACTGGAATGCATTTGCCCAGAGAAACAATGTTCTGAGTGCTGATATGTTCCTCGGCCAGCCCACGGAGACCTTCTAAACTAACACCAGTCCAAATAAGCGATGTCTGCCTTTGACATGCATAAGCCTGTCCAAGCTTAAGGTGCCTCGAATCCTCACCACTGAGCCCATGCACAAACTTTTCAGTTAACTCTTCCTCCTTCCTACTCCAGCCAAACTCCAGTTCTCTCATGTGTGATTCCTAGCAAAGAATAAAACAAGATGGATTAATGGATTCATAATGAAGCATGAATAGTAGAAGTCAAATATTCTACCACAAGATGGAAAACTCTGATGGAATCTGTAAATCCTTTTCGGAGTTATTTTCTGAAATGTGTGGCTCCTAAGTCAGTTAAATTTAGGTACAAGAATTCAGAAACCAACTCCCAGCACATCGGTTGAACTTCACCATGCATCAAACTCTCCATAAAAAAAAAAAAAAAGTCTGCTCTAAACCTCCCACAGCCCACAAGTACTCAGGACAAACTCCTAAGGGCTTCGGATAAACTGTCCCAATCTACAGTTCCGGGTCTATCTCCCACCCACACTACTCACGGCACAATTTTTGCATTTCGTAAATTCAAATCGAAACATACAGTCACAAACACACTAACCAAAGCAAATCGACATTTGATCAGCTTTCAAGCAATTTAACAGATCAAAAGTGAAAAACACTAGGCTACGTGGAAGAATACATTCCTTGGGATAAAGCAGGGTTTGGTGAAGGCTCTGGGCCTGCTCCAGCTGGGAAGCGCTCTCAGCATCGGCTCTCAGCCTAAGCTATTACCACTTACAGAGTGTTCACACTTCTACTACTCCCAAAGCCTCTTCCCTAGGTGGTTTCAGAACCAATCTCCAGTGTCAACATGTCGGGGTGGCCCCCAGAGCACTTGTGCACTTTACAGATTATTAGCCCAGCGGTAAAAACTGGCAACTGCAATTCTGGAATGAATGGTCATCCCTGGTAATTGCAATGTTTTATAAAGCAAAGACCGCTTTTCACTACTTTTGCACTAAACCATTTCATGACTGAGGAATACATGTTTTCCACTTACCGTCCTTCAAAATTAAATTTGCAAAAGGGGAAAAGGAAGTGATCAAATATTAAATTTCCCCAAGGGGAAATTCATGTTTGTATACGAATCACAACACAAAAAGAGAGGTAATCACAACACAAAAAGAGAGAAAAAAAATTGATATTTAGTATTCCCTCCCAAGAAAGAAAATCAAAATTGCCTTTATAGGAAAAAATCAGAACTTTGTAGGACTCCTTTCATGGGTTAAATTTCTGTCTTTGAATTAAACGTGGGTTAGAGAATGAAGGGGAAAAACCAAAATCTTTTCAGCGTTTATGACTTCTAAAATGATACAGAGCTGCATACACATATTTATAATTTGCTTCTTAATGTTTTTGCATTTCATTTTAAGTTTTGAATTTCAAGTTTTGTCAGAATCTCTTTGATTCTTAGAAAATTGGTTTTGACTTCATTAGACTTCCCAATTAAAACTGTAAAATCCAATGTATTATAGAAGCATGATATTTATACACAAATTATATTTTTACATTATATTATCTCTATTAATTCTGAGGTACTTAACAGAATATGACGCATTTTGCAAAATGATTTAGCATTGTTTGGTAACACAAGGAGCAAGGCACAAAAGGGAGATTCAGCTCTCTGACAAGGCTGATAACAAGACCCTTTATAGATCCAACCAGACTAAAACAGAAGCTCATCTCAGTAGCAGTCTTTTTTTTTCTTTTTTGAGCATAGTTTGAAACATATACACTAAAAACAGTATCAATTTTTCTGTGGCTATGGTGGGGGTGGGGAGAGGGGTCAGCCTATCGTGTTAGCAATTTTCTGTGGAATCACATTAGAGTTTCACTGCAGTAGCCATATCACATTAAAATCTGGGGTTTTTTTTGCTAAATGGTTTCCATTGTGTATTTAGTGAATCTGATATGGAAAATTGCTAATGCAATAGGAGTATCATATAAGCTTTCCTGACTGTAATGCTCAGCCACAATATTCAGAAGAAGCTCAATAGGACTGGAGGGGTTTCAGGGCTAATTCTCCACAGCCTCTTAACAAAGTCCTCAGCTCAAGTTCAACACTGGCTTCTTGAAAGATGGAACCAACGCTAAGATCGATTGTATGGGGGAAAACTCCTTTACAGATTTTTATTTCAGAAAAAAACACGGGTTCAGTGAAAGATGTGTCATTTAATTAATATTTATTGACTGACCGCTATGCTGGGCACTGTGGTCCGTATTAAGGGAATGACAAAGATAGATGAAAACATGGTCCCTTCCTTCACAGAACTTGAAAGCACTGACTGAAGAAAAGAAATAAATTAGCACACGAGTAACTTAATACAAGACACGCTGTGGCAACGGTGGAAAATGCAAAGAGCCATAGGAGCTCAAAGGAGGACACACCTGAGACCAGGGTCATTAGGAAGTTCTGTGGAGGCAGCACCTGTACAGGGCCATAAGAGATGAGAAGATGTAGGTAGCTCTGAGGATCAGATGACAGGCTGGGAAGCAGGGGATGGCATTCTAGGCCTTTTCATGAGTAAAGAAAAATGCAGGAAAGAGGAAAGCCACGACATGCATGGGAAATTATAATCCATTACTTCAATGACAGCATAAACCTCAAAAAGCGGTCTGGGGTCAGCCTGAGGCTGCCACCAAAGGAGAGACATACACGGTCTTCAGGATGGTTTGGGGTGGAAGTCTCAGCATGCAGTGCACTGGCAAGATTAATACCCAGCTTTCAAGGGTATGATGGCTTCTAATGCTAACAGCTCCTCTGAAATCTTAACAACTTTATTTAGCACACGTTTCTTAAGAGACACTATTTATAGGAATATTTATTTTAAAAGGTTAGTTTATTGCCAAGGGATAATTGTTTATTTTTTTGTTATGTGACAACTCATGACCTGGAGATTCACTAGGTTAACAGAAAAAAAAAATCTATAAAGCATGCTCAAACTATTGCAACTAGTTATGAATTTACTGTTTGCTTTTTTTTTTTTTTTTGCTTTAGAATAACTTTTCAACTCACTAGCAACAGTAACCAAGGAAATATAAATCCAACAGCCTAGAATTACAACTATTTGAAGAGATTCATGCTTTCAACTGTACTGCTATATTTTTTCTTTTACTCTGGACACTTCCTTGTTTCTGAATTCCTCTCCGAATGTTAGAAGCAGTACACAAAATCTACACTAAGCCTTGTTGGAGGCTTAAAATTTAATTAGTATGTTTTGCAAATTAAAAAAAGTCTTCATTTTCCATAACCTTTACCTTACCTTAAATCAGAGTACACTCTGTGGGTATTATTTCCAAAATAATAAAACAGAATACGATGAAATTGTTATTTTATTTATTGCAAAGAGAACATAAGATATAAACTAGTTAGCTGCCTAAATGCTACAGTGACCACTCATGAAACATCAGCCCTCCAATTTGACAAAGGAAATTGCACTCTCATTAATCACAATTAAACTATTTGTAACACTGAAACTGAATACTTAATCTTTATGAAACTATTTCTTGACAGATTTTTTTTCTCCTCTGACTGACCACAAGGACAGAAAACATAAACAAATTTGCCAGTTGTTTATTACTTATAGATATCCTTGGCAAGGTTTCATTTAAAAAAGAAAAAAAGTCAACAAAACTCTTCTTTCTCATTCCATGTCTTGGGCAATCAGGGATGCAGTAACTGACATCTGTGAACATTCCCTGATTAGCCATTAACTGAAGACATAGAAGTAAAAGAAAAATATTTTACAAGGAGAAAAGTCAAATAGCTCATGCTGACTTTAAGATGCTCATGACAGAGATGCCAGGATTATAAAGCACTTAGGGGTTTCACCTAAAATTTGTTTATACCTTTGATCTTTAGGAAACACTGTACTGAGAAAAATGAGTTTGCTCAGATCAAGAATATGTTGGCATTCTCTTAAACCTAGCTTAAAACCACAGAGCTGAAGCATAAAACAACTCTGACAAAGATAGCCAGTCAAGCATAAAAATGGGAGTTGGTTGGGTCAGAATAGATTAAAAGGCTGAAGGCTGTCTGCTAAAGACCGTTGTCTTGCCATCAATGAAGGCAATTATTATAGCTAAAAGTTATTTTTCTGATATATTATTTTAAACTTTTGTCATATTTAAAACGCTCCTTACTTACAAACTATTACATCATTTTCTTATCTGCAGTGTCCTTCTTGGATAACCACGAACTTGAAAGCAGTCCAAAATCTTGTTCGTGGCTTCCTACAAGTATAGAAAGACGTATTGAATATGGAGTTAGGAGAATGTGTCTGGGTTTCACTTTTACTTCCTTTTTAAATATAGATCACTATTTTTAAAATATAAACATCCCATGGCATTCCCTCACACCGACAGGACTCCTAAGCCAGAAGATATGTTGGTAGTATGAACATTTCTCTCACTCTGAAGGATGCCACAAAGCTCTGCTCAGTGATGGCCAAGGAGATAGAATTATTAAATGCCTTACGACTTTACAGTTATCCTCTATTATTCCTGCTAAACCACACTTCCAAAAGAGCATCCAAGAAATCTGGCAAACCACTGAAATGGCACTTGTAAATTGGATCCATTAAAAGCAATCCACAGTGTCCTGTGGGTGTGCATCCGACTGTTAATTACCGGGTAAATAATTTACATGCAATTTTATTCCAAAACTAGATTTACATCATTTGCAGGCGATTTCTCAGAGTACCGCTTCCAACCCAGAAACAAGTCAACGGAGTATTTCTAAATTATCATTTGAAATATCCACTGTCAAGGGTGGGAGGAGGAAGGAATAGTAACGGGAAGGCTTGTCAGCGATTAGCCATCCATAAAAATGTTTTCCCCGCGCTCCTCCTTCTGATCACAATGCTGGCGTCAGTTAGTCTCCTGTATCTGTTCCCCACCTCGCCCCCCTCCCCTCTGCGGAGAGCTGGCACCGAATGGCAGGCGAAGGAAAAGACAAACATCCCAGCTCCCAACACAATCCAAGCGCTTGCCCGGAGACACTTGAACAACATTCCCAACTTTTTTTTTTTTTTTTCCCTTCCCTCTTCGCGTGCCTCAAAGGTAAGCAGAGTAAAAAGCCTAAGAGACAGAAGGCCAGGGAGACCAGCTGAGTCGCAATTACTACCCCCACCCCGATTTCTCCACTGGCCCGGCCCCCCCCCCAACTTTCGGTCACAACCAACGGTTACCCAGCTCTAAGTCTGGGTCTCCACTGCGCCAGTCCTCAGTGCTCGACCCCCGCGCGGTGCCCAGCCGAGGGGGGGCCGGAGACCCAGCGCACATCCCTACCCACGCCCTGGGCCACAGCCCCGCACGGCCAGCGCCCCCACAGTGGGACGAGCATCCTCCCACAGGTCCCAGGTGTCGCCTGCCGGCGACTGGGGCGACGCGGAGGGCGCGAGGCCAACTCCCTGGAGCTGTCCCCTCCGCCCCACCCCACCCCAAACAGGCTCCACCAAGAAATACAGGGATGGAGAGTACAAAGAACCAAGCCACCCACCAAAGGGCCTCGAAGACTTCCCTCGGGGAAGAACAACTTAGCCACACACGCACACACACACGCACTCGCCCAGCGCACGCCGGGGAGGGCATCTCTTACCTGTCCCCCACGATGTCACTCATCCCCCCCCCGCCCGAGGCTGGCTGACCCCCCCTCGCCCCCCGCCGTGGGTGCCCGGCCGCCTGCTCCAAGCGCCGCGCACTCACTGCCTGGCTGCGCGCGCCCAGCGGCTGCAGGGCCCGGCGGCGGCGGCGGCGGCGGCGGGG